GGGGGGGGGGGGGGGCGGAGGAAACATCGAGGGGCCAGTAGAGGGGACCACCGCTAGGGGACTAGTTTCGCCTCACCAGGAGGCCACGACAACGGAACGTGGTGGCAGGGAGGGGGAGGGGAACCTTGCTGGACAACCGACTGCCAGGTCCAGTAAGGAATCGGCGGCGAAGTCCGCTGGCATCCGAACTACATTGAGCGAGGCACCGACCTCAAGTGGAGCGCCCGCTGACCTCGATACGTTGAAGTCCGCGTGGATCCGGACTTCTTCTGAAAGGACTCCAGAAACAAGGATTGTCATGGAGGCGGGCGGAGCTATGCGCGTGGGCACCGACGAGCGGTCCGCGGTATTTCTACAAAGTTTCGGGAAAACGGGATGAATTGCATGGGAGGGATGGAGGGGAAGAAGGGGGAAAAGGGGAAGAAGGGGAAGAAGAGGAGGAAGGGGAAGAATGGGAGGAAGGAGAGGAAATGGGAGAAAAAGAGTTGATTCTGTTGCGTGAAGGAGAAGAGGGTGAACAAGGGGATTTTGATATTGAAGATAACGAACGGGTGGACATTGAGGACAATGTAGGCTGTGAAGAGTCGTCAGACTGGTTTGGGCTGCTGTACAGAGAGGATCGCAGCCGTGATGTCCACGACGATGCAACGACAATGGAGATGGAGACGCAGGTGGTCAGTGACCTTTCAGCAGACCCTGAAGATTATGAGATTCAACCGGTGACGGCAACAATCAATCTCCAACACCAGTGCGACGAGGTTTCCATTGCTGTGATCCCGGCTGAACCAAGTCCGCTGTTCAACATCGTCGAAGTAATCGATGGCATACTCTGCGACGAGCAGGTGTCCGCAGAACGATCGGCAACGATTGTCGTGGACGACCCCCGCAACGTCACACCTTCCGTGCCCTCTGCCGCCGTTTTCTCACCACCCACCTCTCTGATACTGGCCACCAACTTTGCAAGCGGCTGGGAGGGCGAAGTCGGGGGTCGGCAACAAGTTACGTCCCCGAAAAAATCTAGGGTCGGCAGTCAAGCCCTTGACGTGCTGACCTTACCCGAGCCAACGTCACCGACGAAGGAGCGAAGGGATAAACCGGTTGGTAAGTAGTGATGAACGCCACGACGTGCTCGCTCCCGAACGATGAATCTGGCCAACTCACTTGAATGACGGTTTTTCCCTATCGGAGAGAGTGATGGTTTAAGTCTGCCGGGACCACACTTCCTGTGTCGATGTGTAATGTGGTCAGTCTCTGTGTGCCTGTTGTGGGAAAAAGTCTGTCGAAATCCGAACTTCGGGAAATGTTGGCCTTCTGCTTCTCTGGCTTGTTGTTGTTTTCCTTCGTAAAGGTCGAGGGTCTCTACTTGAATGCGATCGTCGTTTTGTTGTCCAGCCGCATACATGCAGCTCCGTGGTTATACCTGTACTCATTCGGAGTTCTGTAATTGGAGAGGTCCTGCGTCTTGTGGGTTGTGTGGTTCTTTTACATTTTCACATTCGTCCAACTCGTGTTGGGATAAGTGTATTCATTTTCCRTTTCGTCTTTCTTTTGTTGTACAGGGGTAGGRTCCTTTGTATTACCGCGGGCCATTTTACCGCCCGCGGTCGGGATCTAGACCGCGGTGGCCGACCGCTTCCGGCCGAGTGTGGGTATGAAACCCCGATATTTTTTCGGGCCAAAACAATAGGCTATATATATATATATATGTATATATATATAGATATATATATATACAGGGTTACCAGCCCGTACGTACGGAGGCCCGCGGGAGGACCTCCGTACGTTCGGGCGTTTGGCCCCCGCCAAACAATATTTCGGGGCCTACAATTTTTTTTTTTTTCTGAAGTTTTTTTTATGAGTTCTCTATGACGTGACGTACATGCCTATAAATTTTCAAGTCATTTGGCTGACCCAAATAAGAGCTAAAAATCGCCACAGATGGCGGTGTCAAAACGTGCTCGCCCACATTTTTTGAAACTTTTTTAGTGGGTTTTGTATTATTTGAAGTACACACCTGTGAATTTTCAGGGCATTTAGCTATGCCAAAACAAAATGAAAAATCGCCAAAGATGGCAGTGTCGAAAACATGCTCCCGCACTCACTAAATTTAATTCTCTTTTTATTTTTATTTATTTTTATTATTAGTATTTTGTTCTATGTATTTTATTTTTATTTCAAATTTGGTAAGGAATTTTGACGTAATGCTCAGGAAAATATCGTTTAATTTAATTTTCTCCATAACATATCGTTTTTTCAGATTTTTTTGATCAACTTGTTTTTTTTTTTGGGTCCGCGTTCGGCCCGAACGGGCGAACGCATCCCCAAGGGATCCCATACGTTCGGGCGTTCGGGTTCGGGCGTTTGGCCCGTCCCGAACGCCGGTTACGCTGTATATATATATATATATATATATATATATATATATATATATATACTAGCTAAGCGTCCGCGGTGCGGGTGGTGCGGGCAATGCCCGCAAAAATAAGAAATGTTGTAGGGAACCTAACACAAACCACTCACATAAACTGAAACAGACTTAAAAAAAAAGAAGTGAATCATAGG